GATTCCTAAATCTCCTCTCCTGTTCCACAACCCTGGGTGATGGCCTTTTCCCTATTCTAGCAAAAATCCACACTCAGGAAAGAAGAGTCCAAAAAATCAATCTGACAAATATCATGCGTGGTGATGCTGAAAGCAGAGAGCACTGCTACACCCACCTTCTCTTACTTATCCCACAGAATTCTGCCGGGCCCTTTCCCTCAAGGCAAAAAGAAAACTGTCTGGGACTCCACACAGTCCATGTGAAAATACTTCAAGACTGTGACCGTGGGAGATTCCCCAATAGACTACCCACTCAGACCACTCTACACTACAAGGGCCAAGTCATCACATGTCAATCATCTGTTCTGCGCTCCCAGGGTTTTCTTCAATGCTGGGATTTAGCCAGTTCCCACTGGTTTGGCAGAAAAACCTACATTTCGTTGAGTTCGGCAAACCTATGGTTAAAACGACACTTGTAATCAGGGTTTTCTCTGAGCCGCCCAAGGTAGAAATCACAAATTTACATTCCTTACTTTTCCCGATCACCTGTGCAACAGTGTATTCTAAACACTGTAGTAATGTTAATTCCATCCATAGGTATAATTAGATGGAACTGTGATTGTAATATTTATTCATTTCACAAAATCCATTATACTTCTGATAAAACACTGCATTGTTATTCCCTTGCGTCCATTAACTTCAGTAAACAGACATATAACACCAAGAGAAAAGGTGCCAAACAACCTTTCCCCCAAAATAGAGGGTGACATGCTGTCATTCATTTCAGCTTTGTTTTGTGCCAAATTCCTATGAGATGCTACGAGTGAATTTATGCAGTTCCTCAAACTATTGTCAGAACAAAATATGTTCAGAGAAGTCATCTGTTTCTCATCTATCAAACACAATGACTATTGTCTAATTGGCCTACCCCTACAGAAATGGGGCCCTACTCCTACAGTGAAAAGAAGGGTAAGGATAAATCACACAGCTGAGGATGTTCAGCTAAAACTGAAGAATACTGCACGTGAGAACCCCAATCAAGAAGCATTGTGGCCCACAGAGGAAAAAGAGAGTGAGGGACTAGACCCCATACTGGCACACCAAGCCCCGAGGATGACGTCCCTGCACGGAGCTGCTCAGGCAGAGAGGACCTGTTGCAGGGCTGACAACAGCTCCCGACATGCCATCCCCTCACTGGAGTACACCGTGTCAGAGGAAAATTCTGGGATACGCTGCAGGAAACGTGTCCGGTCTCACCACCCCCACACAGGGGCAAACCAAGAATGGAGCATAACAGAGAAGCAAGGAGGGCAAAGCCACAAAACCTCTCAGGAGCCCCCCAAATAGACTTCAGGCTAGGAGCGACAGTTCCTGGAAGCCCCCAGGACCGGTGGGGAGATAAGTCATAGAGGTCAGTGGATAGACCTGGAATTATACATGCTTTTTGGGTAGGTTTTTTTCTTCTTCTATTTTTATTCAATCTTTTGTTGTCTTTTTAATTTGTCTGTTATTGCTGTTTTGCCTACCTATATAAGGTAGGCATGGGAAGCAAGCCCGAGGAGAAAGTAATGGGACTGGTGGTTCCGGAGGACCTGAGGGGCGGAGGAGGTGGGAGAAATGAGCAGTGAGCAAACACCACCATAGACAGGGGGACAACTAGGGAACTAAAGGCAACAATGAGGAGGACACAGAGATCTCGGTAGTGTTGGAGCAACAGCAGTTTGAGAGGAATTACTAAGAAGCAGAAGAGGGGCAAGTGTGATGGTGGAACAGAAGGGAAAAGGAAACAGAGGTAAGATCCAGGAAGCAAAGCTATGGATACAGGTATAAATATAGGTGTGCACTTAGGTGCACTTGGGCCGCTGACCACAAGGTAAGCAACTCCCCCAGCAGCTTCACAGGCGCAAGATGAGACTTTCTACTCCTGTAAAAATGAATAGTCTCAACAACCCACAGGGGCGGCTCCACGTGGTTCCTGTAAGTGGAGATTGACTTGACAGTAATTAGTTTATACCTGCAGGAATCCACTTTCCAATGCACTCCAAGGACAAGATTATTCATGCCCTTGGTCAACGGACCAAGGGAATTCACTGGAGGCTTAATCCATATGGGGGTTTTGCAAATGGATGTTGGGCTTTCACTGTCACCCATAGCCTTCTGCACACCAGGTGCTCAGAATTTAAGCTCTAATACAATTTCCTCCTCTGATTATGGGTTTTATTATTTACAATCTTTGGATAACACGGGAATGGTGGGCTCCTTCTGTGTAGACTTAGCTGCTCTTAAAGATGGCTCTTTAAAGCAAGGCTTTAAGATCTGTTGCTATTTTCTGATAGGCAGGCATCATTTCTTCACCATAGTTTGCTATAGCACTCATATCTAGTGATCAGTTCATGAGGGAAAATATTGAGTAGGGCCAGAGCTTAAGAACTCATTATTCTTATATTAGGGCTTACAGTTAAGTGAGAGCTCAAAATCCCCTTTATAGCTAAGGTTTATATATGTGTATGATTATGAAAATTTCCATGGTTTTTTTGCCCCAACTAATGATTGTGTTACCGGGAAAGGGGGGCGGGGGTCGGTCTTATCATCTAAGCTCTCTCTCCACAAAGGAGGACCCTTGTACTCTAGAAAGCTGAAATCAAGACTATCACTAACTTCTCCTGGACATCATCGAATAGTAAAATTGGTTTCTCAGTTGTTTAAAACTAAATGAGCTACCGTGTTTAGGTGATGAGGTGGTAAAAGGTGAAAAATAAAAAAAGGAAACTATTAAAATAAGTGCCTGAATAGCACAAAAGAATGATGAAAGATAAAATTGAGTTGGGACCCACAAGTGGCTTCTATGTTCTATTTAACATGACTAGTGGCCATACAGCTAGAATACATTCTCTTGTTTCACAATTGAAATGCAAGGTCATTACTTTTTTTACCTTCTGTGGACTTATGACATGGACCAACATGCTCAGTGTATACATGTCAACACACATGAAGCAGCCATATAAGACAGTTTTAGAGACCCAGCAGTAAGTCAATGACGTGGCCACAGCTGTCCTTCCAGAGGTGGTGATCTGATGACCTCACCATGGAGGTATAGGTCAATCTTGCCCAGCAGCACAGCTAATACAAATGGCAATTTTTAAGACACTACCCTTGGCTTCTTCCCCCAGATGAGCCTTGGCCCAAGTTTAGGTAATTCTCCCCCACTTGGCCAGTGACCATATGCCACGTCCCAGGCGCTATTCCGTAACACGGGACAGAGTCAATGAAAAGGTTCCCTGATCTCACCAAATGTACGTTCGGCTTAAAAATAAGCTGTACCTCAGATGCCAACAAGTGCAAAGTACAATATAAAGCAGGGAAGGATACGGAAGGCAACAGACGTGTGTGCTATTTTTAAATACAGTCAAGGAAAAGCAACAGGGAAGGTGCCAGCTGAGCAGCAACCTTGGGGGTCTATCTGCAGTAAGCACTTCAGCAGGGGGACAGCAAGTACCAGGACCCTCACTGTAAGCAGTTACTCTGGCACCGCTGTACAAACCCTGCTTCCCCAGACTATGAAGTTCCAAAGGCAAAACCCTTCCTCTTGAGATGGCCAACGCGTTTACGTTTTTATTCTCAACCATTGATAGAGGTGACCGAACCACCAGCTACTTAGCGCCTCCAGAATAAAGGTCTTAAGGTTTGGAGGCTGATCTGCTTAATTCATGATCTGCTTCCGAATCAAAATGGGTGGCTTAAAGTCACAGCCCCTTAATTATGAACTATGAAGAGGCCTAAGTTTGTGGAAAAACTCCCTGATTTGTTAACTTCATTTTCTCACAAACTTTGTGAAGCTCTGCTCCTAGGTAAGGTGCTGTGTCCCCTTGGTTCAGGCTCAGTGAAATTGGGAAACCTGTACGACAAAGTAATGTCCCGATCCATCAGACTCTTGATGGCCGAGAGGACTTTTCAAATGGGACGGATCGCTTGCCAAGAAGTGCCCAAGCCTTTTTAGTAGACCCCCAAGACTCATAAACCTTCACCTGACCTTTGCTTCTAGAGTTTGCCATTTAAATACATACTCCCCACTTCTGATAATGAGAAACTCTTTAGGCAGGACTTCTTTTAAACAATTAAAGCAATTCTGCAGAGTACCCACTACTCTTGTTTTTCACACTCTTCTACAAATCCTAGCATAACTTACTTGTCTAGAATTAACACCGGATTAACACAAGAAAGCACCTACCAGCTGTGGAACAGCCACCACAAAATGATCAGATGAAGACACTAGTAATTAGAGACCAAATGCAGCCCACCTGCTAAATATGGTTCTGTCGCAGCCATTCCGTCCTAACTCCAACCAACAGTGTTCAGATTTTTACAGAAGAGTCCAGTTAAGAGCAGTTTAGTAGTCAGGACCACGTGAACAAGAGCAGCTAGCATGTGACAGAGCAGTCACAGCCTACCAAATAAATAACCATTGTGATGCCATCCCTGCCTAGCTCTTGAAGCTTAAAGAAGAAACTCATCAAACAAGAGACATTTTCAGTGAAGTGTTTTCATCAAGCACAAGCAGCTCTAAGCATTAAAGCAGAAAGGACAACCTTTCTGGTTTTAAGCTGAAGTGAGTATTTCTAATGTTGAGCTAGGCCACTCACTGAAGCTAATAAACTGGTCTTATGTTTTTCTATTATTGTTTCCGGCTTCCATGACTCAGAAACTCAGAAGCAAACCATCTAGTGACAGAACAGGACATCTGAGGCCCAGTGACTCAGTTTACATTCAGCTTTCGCATCCTTGTGAAACAGCCTTTGTGTAGAGCAAGGGAAAACAGCTTCCTACCACAAGAACCTTCTCAAGGAAAATTCTCACCACCCATCAGCAGGGCAGGCTTAGCCTTTCCAAACTGAGTTTAACTTCTTGCCTAGATACAGCAAGCAAACCCCGCTTAGCTTTTGAAAAGGAGTGCTAAAGTTTCAAAGAAACATTTGAGACCATCTGCAAAAACTAATTGGGACCTAGATCGCTGAAGAGGCCAGTTGGATTCAAGCCATTTATTTCAGAGCAAGTCAAAACAAACAGTATTAAAAAAATATGACAATATTTACAAGATGATGTTTGATAAACTTTGGGGAATAAAAATAATTCAAACATTTCTATGTGGGCTTTTCAGCATTTGCCAGTAAAAATGGCAAACAGGTTTGTCTCTCTGACAATCCATGTTCACCAACGGGCACAATGGAATAAAGCGCTCCACTGTCAGAGCTTGAGCCCCTCAACATTCCGCTTCAAGTTCAGCAGCTCCTTCTCCTGCCTCCTCCTCTCCAGTTTGAAGGCTAATTTGTTGGCCTTCTTTTCAACTCGGCGTTCCTGTACAAGAGCACACTCAAGTTATTCAACTCTTCTTACACAGGCAATTGTACAAAAGAAACTCAATTCCCCTCATTTCTTCCCACCAGCGCTTTCTAACCCACCCATCTGAGGCATGCACCCACTCACCTTGCGCTCTTCTTTGATAGCTTGCTTTCTGGCTCTCTTATCTTCTTTGCTTTCATTTTTAGAACGAGGTTGCATCGATACCTTCGGCAGATCACTGCCATTGATCATCAGCATCCGTTCAACCTGCTTGGCGGTGAGTCCTTTCTTAGGTAAGACATTGAGAGGTATGCCTGTTTTAGAGGAGATCCTGATTCCTTTGGGCTGAAACACACAAAATAACACTAGCGTCATTCCCCAGCCCTTTCACAAAGCAGCGCACTACTGACACCCTGCTGGGGTACAGGGGCTGCGAGCAAACACTCTGTACACTGTTTCCTGCGGTGCATGCTGCAAATAGCTCAGGACACTAGGTCTTACCTTTGGTTGGTCCTTGATGAGCTGTGGATGGTTGTAGAGATTGGAGTACGTACCTATAAAACAGTAAAACCATTCTAAGTCTCATGTAGAAGGGCACTTGCAGTTCAGCACAGCTGTACCACGTTCCCACCATATCCCTGGACCTTGGGCTACCTGGGGACTTGTCACTGAAAGGCTTCTCATCTACAAGGAGAAAATGCTTATTGCTGAAGTAGTAGTTAGGCAATGGTATTCATATAGGAGGGTAAAAAACCAAAAGAACAAAATAGCTTCAAAATTCAATTCACTTATATTCAAAGGAGAAATTCTAGTGTTTTCATGGTTCAACTTAAGAGTGGTATCTAATAAGTCTTTAAAATTTGTAAATCACTAATATTATCCTTCCAAATCAGTTTCTAGGATTTCTTAAAAGTATAACTTCTATTGAAAAGTATAACTTCTATCTATATATTTTTAGAAAGTTGATGTACAGAACATGTACTGAATGATGTAGTTAATGGGCCCAATGAGCTGGAATCTATTGGAAACCCAAATCTACTGCCCATTTAAAAACCATGATCCAAAACTAGGCCCTCCAGTCATCTTTCAGTCAACAACCAAACCAAACTCATGCCATGAGTCCAGGATGACTGACTGAGACCCCTGGTGGGTTTCTGAGCCTGATGGGCGTAGAGAGCCCAGTGTTTCTCCCACAGAGTTGCCGGTGATTTCCAACTGCAGATCACACAGACTGTAGCCCAGTATATAACCACTATACCACCTGGGTTCAACAGTTTAGCTCAAATAGTTAAAGAATGCTTGTCTGCAGCACAGAATTTTTTCAAAAGGAATGCCTACATTCAATTACTGACAACGGCAACTCTGAGACACAGATGAGAAGCCGAGGAAGCAGTGAGTCTAAGGAAGTGGTAGTGAGGCAATCTGGGGAGAGAGCAAGAATGACGACGCAGCGTGGATAAGGAAACCAATGCCGCTGAATTGCACAAGGAGGGACTTTAACGTGTCTTGCTGCGTGCACACTGTCACCAGAGATGATCCCACTTTAACAGTACCACGGGCACTGAGATACTTACTACAAATGGATTCACAATCCCACTTCTCTTTGACTTCCTCAAGAACCACAGTAACCATGTCTTCCTCCTTAGACTCATTGAGCTCATTCATTAGCAGGTCTTGGTCTTCAAAGGGTTCAAGAGTAGTCAGTTTTACACAACTTTCGGTTGCATTTTTAAAAAAATCAAGGCATGAGGGGGGAAAAAACAAAACACAAAATCACCTATTATACTGGATGTAACTGAAATTGTACTTGAGCGCTACGGAAATGTCATTTATAAAACTCCACCCACTCATGTATCCCTGTCATTTCCTGTTACAGTGAACTCGGTCCTGCCTTGTCTCTCCCCCTCTTCAGTGGAGCTTGGGCATTCATTCTGATGACATTCAAAACTCACTGCCACCTAACTGATTCTCACTCATAACCACCCCCTTTAGGGCAGGGTGGAACCGCCCCTTTGGGTTCCTGAGGCTGTCAATCTTCATGGGGGCAGGAAGCCTCATCTTTCTACCAGAGGAGCAGCTGGTCGGTTAGCTTTGCTGTTAGCAGTGCAACGCAAAGCACGATCCACGACGCCAGTAGGATATTCCGCTGACAGGTAGGAAAAACCTACCTGGATCTCCACAAGGGTATGATACATTAAACAGGATGATGACTTTCCTATGAGAACACATCCTTTTTGAAAGCCTTGAAATGCACAAGCCCATCTGTCTCTCCAAAGCAGTCAACAGAGTTCAAAGCACACAGCTCCCTGCTCTATGTAGGACCTACATTATTAGAGTGATCTTTCGGTATCAGACATTAGGACACACTTAAACACTTCATTAGTTTCTCTCAGGGAGGCGTCACCAGAGGTGGATGCTGATTTGCCATGCTATTGGTTGATCGGTTCTGCTCATCTCTAAATAGAGAAACCCTTCCCAAGTCCAACGATCTACCTCTTTGCACACCTGACATTTCAGGAAGAAGAAAGTAAGAATACAGACACCTAGAATTTGCAAAATTTTTTCAGCCAATTAGCATTAGTAATGTGTAAGGGTCGCTCTGGGGTACAAATCAGATTAGGAAACTGACAAAGAAACGAGGCAAAAAACAAAAACAAACAGCACTATCGAATCAATTTCAACTCATGGTGACCCCATGGGCAGGGTAGAACTGCTCTGGTGGGGTTCTGAAGCTGTAACTTTATGGGAGTAGAAAGTCTCATCTTTCTCCCGAGGAGTGGCTGGTGGTTTCGAACTACTGACCTTGCAGTTAGCAGCCCTACACATAGCCACTACACCATCGAGCTGCTTAAGTTAGAAGCACCACCTTCTTCTACAATTAGGGAACTTCAAAAACCCGTGGGGAAAAAACTTTTAATTCGCTTTCTCCGTGAACTTCCTGAAGCCCCTTCATACTTCCCACCGACCTACGGCTATGCTACCCTGACTATTCCCAGGTCATTATAGAGAAAGTGGTTCTCAGTACATTCCCACACGTTGTCAGATTTAGCTTTAGAATTCTAAATATTAACATATGGGCAAAAGAGATGAGTTCGGAAGTTAAGAGAACGGTACCGTGTTCTAAATAATGTCTCTGACTAAGCACTTCTTTTGGATTCAGCCGAACTACTGTCTTTTTGCAGAAATGAAACCAAGCATCTAAGCCAGGAAAGGAAAGGCACCGTACTTCTCTGCCTTCTCTTTATGGTAGTCATTCAAAACTCCCTGCAGCCGACTGCTGTCCACTTGAATAGAACCTTCCAGTTCAGCATTATCCAGAGCGCCAATCTCGTCGTCGTCATACTGCGCAAAAAACTGAATGCAGAAAAAAGATACCATAAATAAATGTACGCACATTAAGCCGATAGCATCTAAATGGTATTTTTACACTAGTTGAACTCCTACATAAGATTTAAGCACTACAGAGATCAGGTCCCTGGGTAGCACAGTTTGGCACAAGCTACTAACTGTGGCCCCATGAAAAACAGGCCTGGGAATTTACTTTCATCAAGATTACAAAGCCCTCAAAGCCCCAGAGAGCACAGCTCTACTGCGGAGCCCTAGAACCTGGGAGTTCTGCCGGACAGACGCCCTGATGTCCCGAGGGATACAGCTAGGGGTGCTGTGCTTCGGAAACGACCACCCGGTGCAATGGCTCTGCGGGTTATCATAATAGCACAGCTATTTTAAAATACAGGAGACTTTTAAAAGTTCATTGAAAAGTAGCTCTGAAAGATAAAGAGATATTCCCACGATCTTTTGGAAGCCTCCTGGTTTTAGCTGATATTTAACAGTATGTGGAAGAAGTTTAGTCCAGCACTGTATGATGCACATTTAGATTGAAAATAGCCTTTCACTTACCATGAAAATAAAAGGCTATTATATTTTATTTAGCCCAGAGAACAAAATGCTAGGACTGAGATCTTTTAATGCATAAGCAAAACCTTTGGTTATGCAAAAAAAAAAAAAAAATGTGGGAACTGAAAAATCTCCTGCATTAATAACAAAACTCATTGCCATTCAGTTGATTCCTGTCCAATAGGAAAGGGTAGAACTGCCCTTGTGGGTTTCCGAGACTGAAATGCTTTACAGATTTAGTCCCATCCCACCCATGAGGAGCGGATGATGGTTTCAAACTGTTGACCTTGTATTAGTAACCCAACATATAACCACTACACAAGGGTTCCTGAGTTAATGGACAAGTTTAATTCTGATTTAGATGATATTTATCAATGGTATTACTACATAATTTTAAAAATTGCTAATAGTTGTATAAAAGAGATAGGATGATATATCTCCCTAAGTGTGAAGCTATTTATAGTGATAGTCGGCCCATCTCTTTGAGAGAGTAAAAGAAAAATACCTGTTGAAAAGATAGCAAAGTTAGACTCTTATTCTTGGAATCACCATGGAGGAAAGCATCCATCACTTACTGAACAGTTCAACCTCCTACTATGTGCTAGGTACATTTCAGGGCTTGAGATCTATCAGTGAGCCAAACACATCTAAGTAATCTAAGCAAGTGTCCAGTTACTTACTTAGTAACCTTGCCCATGGAGAACTTACAATCTAGCCAGAAACATATCTGCATTCAATATACATATTAAGTGAGCATTAGATACTAGGCTAGAGGGTGTGAAGAGAAATAAAAAAAGGGTAAACTAAACCCAATTAAGTGAGTTGTGGCTCATAATGACCCACAAGGGCAGTGTACAACTGCTCCCTAGGATTTCTAAAAGTGGAAAAATCCTACCTAAGGAAATAACCTCATCTTTCTCTCACAGAGCAGGTGGTGGGTTTGAACTGTTGATCTTGAGGTTAGCGGCCCAAGATAAAACCAAGGCTAACATAAAATGAAGTGAGGATATGAAAAGGCTTAAGGGTCAGGAGAACCCGTTTAACAGCAGAGCTCTAGCATGGAAAAGAGCCCTGGTGGCGCACTGAGCTAAGCTCAAGACTGCCAACAGATTGGTCAGCTGCTTGCTCCTTGGGAGAAAAACCAAATTTGTCTACACCCATCTCAGGGTCTGTGAGGTCTGCGAGGGTCTCGGGGTCTGCAAGGCTGGCCCCAATCCAAACTACGTGGACAGACCCCTCTACCTGCAGAAGAATTCACTTCAGAGGACACCACTGAAGCTACAGCTCAGGGAGAAGGACATGTCTGATCAGAGCCCACAGGAGCAAATGAAGGGGGAGGAGGAAGAGAGTGGAGCACACCCGGACCCACCAAGCCTTGAGGACGATATTCCTGCTCAGAGCAGCCAATCCACAGAGAGGACCATAGGGCCGGCCCCACCACCAGACACGATGTCCCTCACTGATCCATAGCGCTACAGGGGACAATACTGGAGAGACAGTTCGAGAATTGTCCCCGATCTGACCCTACCACACTGAGAGGAAACACTATGGGCATGCAATGAACAGCAAGGGGAGCAGAGCATCGAAGTCTCTGAGGAATACCAAAAGTAGACTATGGGGCCAGGGCGTGGCACCCTATCAGACTCTCCCAGAAAACACTCCTAAAGGTCAACACAGACCGATTTACAGGCTTTTCTTTTTTGTCGTTGGCTTTTTAGTTGTTATTGTTGTTTTGTTTTGCTCTGACTTGTTTTTGTTCATATTATTATCTCTGCAGGTCTATCTACATAAAATAGGCGGGATAAACAATCTGGAGGAGAAAACAACAGGGCCGACGGGTCCAGGGGGACATGGGAGAGGAGGAGGCAGGGGAAAGCAAGTGGGTATTAACAAACCCAGGGACAAGAGAACAACAAATGATTCAAAATCGATGGCAAGGAGGGCGTAGGAGGCCTGGTGGGGCTTGATCAAGGGCAATAAAACCGAGAGGAATGAATGAAATCCAAATGAAGGCTGAGCATGACAGTGGGAGAAGAGGAAAGTAAAAGGAAATACAGGAAAGACTAGGAGGCAAAGGGCATTTATAGAGGTCTAAATACAGGCATGTATATATGTAAATATATTTATATATGACGATGGGGAAATAGATCGATATGCATATATTTACAGGTTTCGTATTAAGGTAGCAGATGGACACTGGGCCTCTACTCAAGTACTCCGTTAATGCGAGAACACTTTGTTCTATTAAACTGACATTCCAAGATGCTCACCTTCCTGACACAATCGCTGAAGACAAAACAGGTGCATAAGCAAATGTGGTGAACAAAGTTGATGGTGCTGGCTATCAAAAGATATAGTGTCTGGGGTCTTAAAGGCTTGATGATAAATAAGCAGACATCTAGCTGAGAAGCAACAAAACCCACATGGAAGAAGCACACCAACAGCCTGTGTGATCACAAGGTGTCGATAGGATCAGCTATCAGGCATCAAAGAACAAAAATCATATCATTGTGATTGAAGGGGAGTGCAGATCGGGGACCCAAAGACTATCTGTACACAACTGGACATCCCCTTACAGAAGGGTCGTGGGGAGGAGATGAGCCAGTCAGGGTGCACTATAGCACCAATGAAACATACAACTTTCCTCTAATTCTTTAATGCTTCCCACCCCCCACTATCCCACTATCATGATCTCAATTCTACCTTAGAAATCGGGCTAGACCAGAGCATGTACACTGGTACATATCAGAGCTGGAAACAAAGGGAATCCAGGACAGATAAACCCCTCAGGGCCAATAACGAGAGTAGGGATACCAGGAGGGTAAGGGGAAGGTGGGGGAGAACGGGAGAACCGATCACAATGATCTACATATAACCCCCTCCCTGGAGGATGGACAACAGAAAAGTGGGTGAAGGGAGACATCGGACAGTGTAAGACATGAAAAAATAGTAATAATTTATAAATTATCAAGGGTTCGTGGGGGAAGGAAGTAGTGAGGGGAGGGGCAGGGAAGGAGGGGGTAAATATGAGGAGCTGATACCAAGGGCTCAAGTAGAAAGAAAAGGTTTTGAGAATGAAGATGGCAAATATACAAATGTGCTTGACACAATGGATGTATATATGGATTGTGATGAGTTGTACGAGCCCCCAATAAAATGATTCAAAAAAAAGATTCCAGTATTAGAAACATGACAGAGCAACTCTTCTCGGTCCCATGGGTGACTGAGTTGCAGCAGACTTGACAGCAATAGTTTGGTGCATAGAACAGAACCTGGTTTTACCCTGGAGTTGGTTCTGTTACACCTGAGCCAAACCCCAGGATGCTACAATTCTTACACTCACTTCCTTTCTGTTCTCTAGCAGCAAGAAACTACAGGAGCAAAATTCTGTTGAGGCCAACTGTTAGG